CAGCACCCCCAGGCTCTGCACTCGCAGGCTCAGCACCCCCAGGCTCAGCACCCCCAGACGCAGCACCCCCTGATGCAGCACCTCTAGCAGCACCTGAGTCTACAGCAACCTCAACAGGCACAGTCAGGGGGAGTGGGTCTACCTGAGACACACCTGAGGGAGCAGGACCCTGAGGGGGGAGGGGTTCTATCGAAGGGGGACATGGATCAAGGAAGAGCGGCGGGGGGGGGGGGAGAGGGGCAGTGCGGTAGGGGAAGAGACGGTAAAAGAGAACCGACTTGTCAAACGTGACGTCCTGGGAGGGGAGGACACGGCGCGAGGTGGGGTGGTAAAACTGACAGCCAGGTGCGTCAGGGGGAAACCCAAGGAAGACGCAAGGAATAGCGCAGGTGGAGAGCTTGTCCGTGGAAGTATCGCGGACAAAGGCACTAGAGCCCCAGACCCGGAACACTCACGCATCGCCAACCTTCCTTGTTTAATGTAGTGTAGTCGAGGTCTTCGGCAAGGAGACACGGGTCCAGAGGTTGAGCTGATGCGCAGCGTACCGGGCCGCAAACGGCCATGGAATATGGGGAACAACCGCATGGACTATGGAGGTACGAGCCACCTCCATGACTAAGCCAATGCGGCGCTCAGCAACCCCATTTTGCTGCGGGGAGGCCGGAAGCGTGAACGACTGGAGAATGCCCTCCCAACTACAAAAGTACCGCAAGAGGTCAGAGGAGAACTCACCACCTCTGTCAGAGTGCAGACGCAGGACAGGAAGGTCCTCGCGGAACCGCTCGCAGAGCTGGAGACGAACTGCGCGAATCCAAAGGATCAAGAGATTAGGGACCTCACCCTTGCTGCGCAAGGGGAAGACCATGGTGTAACGCGTGTAGTCGTCAACAACCAACTGAAAGTAGTGCTCGCGGTCCTGTCCACTGACGCGGGCTGGGCCACACACGTCCATGTGGAGAGTCTGCAGGGGAGCAATCGTCGGGGGAAACGAGGAGGAGTGAGGAGCGGCGCGCTGCCGCCCCTCGATGCAAGGAAGGCAGGGCGGGAGGGAAGGCAGAGACCTAGGAAGACCAGACACAAGGAGGCGGGAGTGCATGGCACAAAGGCGTGGCAAGGAGGGTTGACCAAGGCGGTGGTGCCAAAGGAGAGTCTGGTGCGACAGGAGGCGACACGAGCAGGGAGCTGCTACCGGACCAAACATGGACACTTGAGTAGACGCAGTTACCTGAGGAGGCTCGATAGCCAGGGTGTACAGACTCGACTCAGGCCGACGAGTGAACGTGGCCAGGTGACGGCCCGTCTGTGTACACGTGCAGATCGACACACGCTGACCCCCAGGAGTGGTGGTAGTGACCTTCGCATCCTGCAGGGCAGCGGTACTCACCAAGTTCGTAGAGAACGAGGGGAGGTGAAGACCTGACAGTGAGCCGGACGGAACCGCTGGACACAGGAGAACAGTGGAGGAACGGGCAAGAATTGGGCCCCTTGAAGGGTCAGCCAGTCTGACCGGAATAAGTGCAGGGAGTGGAGTGAGGGTGGTACTGTCGCGAAAGAAACAGCGGGAAGCACCTGAGTCAAGTATGAAGGTGTGCAAGGCCTCAGCAGGCACAGTACTAAGGAGAGCAGACTCACTAGCACCTAGAGTAGCAACCTCTATACCTGGGTCGGGCGGCACACACAGGTAACAGTCACCCTCAACACTAACAGACAAGGCATACATGGCAGCAAGGATAGCATCATCGTCAAGAGCAAAGATATCAACTCCAGACCAAAGCAGCTCTGCCCAGCGGGGGGCGCTCAGCCTCGTTGCCAAACTTTGCGTGCCAAGCGTCGTCAAGGTGGGAGAAGCAGCGGTGCTGAGTATGAAGCTTCCCGCATGTCTGACCAGTGCGGTCACCCGTGCGAATGACATACGGGCAACGAACACTACCCCCAGACGCCCCACGCTGAGAAAACCACTCACGAAGCTGCTGGGGCGTAGGGGTCTCGCCCTGTTCCCGCTGTTGCTGCCTCTGGCCACCGCTAGAACCTCCCCTCTGATCATCTCCACCCCGACTGCCACCACTGCCACCTCCACCACTCCCACTACCGCCACCACCGCCACCACCACTCCTACCGCTGCCACCACCGCCGCCACCGAAGCCCCACCTCCCGCCACCACTCCCATCGCCACCTCCGCCACCTCTACCGCCTCCATCGCCTCCACCACCACCACCTCCGATGCCACTGCCACCACTCTTGCCACCCTTGCCCTTGCCGCTGCGGCTCTTCCCACTAAGAGCAGAAGCAGCCCCGACGTCCTCAGTACCAAGGATGTCAACAGCAGCAGCAGAAGCATAGGAAGGGGCAAGGGGGGAGGGGGAACACCCCTCAAAGAAGGGTGTGCGAGGAGTGCCACGAGCAGCACCTACAGCGACTTTGCTAGTCTCAGCTGCAAGGAGGTGCTTCTCGAGCAGGTCGACAGTGAGGTATGTGGGGTCAAGCGCGAGAAAGTGGCCCCTGACTGCGCGAAGAGAGTCAGGGAGGCGGGTGACAATGAAGTAGAGAGTGATGTACATCGGGGGCGGGTTCTTGTCTAGGAACTCGGCTGGGAGGGCAGCGCAGTAGCAAGCGTCGCTAGTGCGAAGGTGGGTAATGAGGTCCTCGACTATGGCAAAGGCTGACAGCTCAGGAAAAAGGTAGGGCACTATAAGGCAGCCGAGAGCAGCAGTGGCAGGGGAATAGTAAGTAGCGACTACAGCATCGTATAGGGTTTTAGCAGTCTTGTGCTGGCCAAAGTGAGCGAGTTCGGCTAACGGTAGGTGGTTGCGAACGGCTAAGCGAGCAGTAGCGTCACGGGTAAGCCACTGTGAGCGAGTCGCACTGTCAGCTGTGGCGGGAGGGGCGAGAGAGGCTCCAGACGTGTGGTCAAACAACGAAACGCTGTCTCTAGAGTCGCTCAGTAGGTACAGCTGTAAGTCGTCGAGCCACGTATCGAACTGGATCGGACGGCCCTCATGATCGAAGGTGAGAACATTGAGAGAAGCCATAGCGGGCAGAGCAGGGCGGCGCGCGACCAGCAGGGCAGCACGCAGGCAGGGCGACGCGTGAGCACTAGGGAGGCATGCAGGGCAGGGAGAGGCAGCGCACGGCTAGGGAAGAGTGGCACGGAGCCAGGGCAGGGCAGGTTGGCGGCCAGTGGGGTGGCACACAGCAGGGCGGGCAGCAGCAGGGCGGCGCGGGCTGGGCGGTGCGGGCAACGGTGCGGCTGCCAGCAGGGCGCCGGCCAGTAGGGCTGCGCGCAGCAGGGCGGGCAGCAGCAGGGCGGCGCGAGCAGCAGGGCGGTGCGGGCAGTAGGGCGGCTCAGCGCCAGCAGGGTAGGTCGACGCGCAGGCAGCAATGCGGCGCGCGGGCAGCAGGGCGACGCGACGGCCAGCAGGGCGACGCGACAGCAGGCAGGGCGACGCGACTAGTGGGGCAGCGCTCTGTGGTGGGCCCTAAAAAAATCTGTCATAGGACAGGACCTGCTCTGAAACCATGTCAGAATACTGAACGAGAATGAATGCATTGAACAGAAAGTTGGTACAAATACTAACCCTAGTTGGGTTGTACCCCTTATGGGCTACCCCACTACAGCCTACACAATGTGAGCATTATAACATTGTGGCAGGCTCTTGTCATTGTGTTTTAGTCGACTCAAAACACGACTCAATGACGGCAACACTCTCTGGCTGATGCTTATCCCCCGTTGCCCTGTTGGCAGGCTCTCACCATCGTCGTACAAGGTGACCTATGCTTACCACCTCTTCAACCTCAGGGGAGGAGATTCTCCCAAGCTGGGTTGCCTGGATTCCTGCCTCACTGACGGTATCCTAGCTCCAGCCGTTATGGTGAACATCACGAAACCCAAGACCCGCCGCAAGCGTTACAGCTTCAAGAGCAATGGCGAACAACTCACCAACTCGGAAACCACCGCCTGCATGTTTATCAAGTCTTTTACGCAGTCAGCGCCTTTTGCAGTTGCGGGACGCGAAGGTAACAAGGCTGCTCTCTGTGGGAAGCTTGTGAAAAAGGTGGACTAATACGAAGCATTTGGTTGCAGGTGCAAATTGTATGTAGGGTTTGATGCAGTGTGTGTTATGGTCGTTGAAGATTGGTAATGCATGTGGGTGTGTGCCTGTGTACCATCATAAGGTACGGTACTACTGCTGCAAAGCTCTTCTCAAGAAAGGCAATTGGTACCTGCTCCTACAGAGAATTCAGAATGGTACAGAATAGAGTGGCTGAGTGCCTGTAGCACAGAATGGCATGAGGACCAAATATTTGCCTTCATTATTGGAGACCCGGTACAGTACTTGATTGACATGCGTGCAGCACTGAGTTACACAATACAACACGACCTGAGTATGAGGAATTGCGTTGTACTGCTACACTTCCACATGCAATAATGTAGTGCAATGCTTTACGGAGAAGAAAAAGCACCGCTCTACATCTACCCCAGGCTCTCTCAAACACGTGGCCAAATAAATATTCAAGCTCTCAAGCTGGCCGATAATCTTTGCACGCCATTTCTGGGCGAGCAGCTTGGGAAATGCCACAAGTAGCTGGCATGCGGGCGGCAAAGATTTGTCCTTTAGTTGCTTGGAGAGTGTTGGGAGGTCAGAGCCGTCCAAGGAAAACTGTTTCGTTCCAAAAAGGTGAGGTCAGAGGGAGAAAAGGGTTGGAAAAGAAGGGACGAAAGAGCGGGGTGAGGGGGGGGGATTGGGTGGGGAGAAGAGTTTTTAGAAAATCGTTTTGGGAGAATTGAAGTGGAATACCGTAGGACCACTTGTTGCAAGTCATGATCCATTTGGGGTAACAGCCAAGTAATACAACATTTGAAGCATAATGTAATCGCATGTAACCTTAAGTGCATGTCTTGCACATGAGGAGCATGGGCAACTGGATTGGGTAAATTGGGTAAACCACCCACACATGTGGGGTGGCCTGTAAGGCTTTAATGAGTCGACTCAGAAACTCACCTTGATGACGTGAGCAGGAGAAGCAGGGGTGGAGGGGAGGGGGGAGGAGGCCAGCGGATGCACTGAGAGGCCCGGCAGGAGCGAGGGGAGGTGTGACTCCCACCACCCTGCAGTCCAGGCGAGGGGGGTCCCACCACGCTGCAAGGGTGAGGGAGGGGTGGGGAGGAAACGAACAATGTTTTTTAGTCAACTATCTATGATTCGACTCAGAGCCGTGACTCCCACCCCCTGCAGACCAGGGGAGGTGGGACATGGGGGAGGTGGAGAGGATGACACTGCAGATGTATGGATAAAAAGCAGAGAGATAGAGAGATGGGGTTAGGAATGGGGGATATTTGTATAGTTAATGGGATTCTGCAGACAGGCAGGGGGAGGTGGGGTCTGGGGGAGGTAGAGCAGACCACGTTGGAGAGATATGGACAAACGGGCGAGGAGAAGAGAGTTGTGAAACCTGAGAAAGAGTCTACCTCGGCTGATTGACGGAAACGAGTCTGGATGCGGGAAACCTTTTGAGAATTCGCAAAAGTCAAACCTTTTGAGAATTCACGAAAATCAAGTTGAATGATGTGCAGCAGCGGGCCAGTGAGAAATCATTAGCAATGGAATGGCAGACGAAAAGTGATATTATTTAAAGAAAGTTTGGTATACCTGTTAGGAGCGATAACAGCAAGGGCGGTGGGGAAGGACATTGTGTAGGAGCCCACAATGGAAATGTTTCCTGATTCAAAAGGGCTATACAGAACGTGACTGTATCTAAACGTGGTCAAAATTACCTGTTAGGAGTGATAACAGCGAGGGCCGTGGGGAAGGACATTCCGTAGGAGCCAACAAAGGATGTTTTGCCGAGCAGCGATCGCACACAGATGGCAGCAGGGGGAGGGGCGCTCCAGTTGGCTGTTTGGCGCTGAAGCTGGTAGGGGGGGAGGGGATGGATGCGTAAGGGTGGGGGTAGAGGATGGGGGGAAGGGGAGGAGCAAGGAGAGGGAAGTAGGGAGAGGGGAAAGCGGACTGGGGATACGGAGTGGGGAGAAGGGAGAGGGTACAGGGCAGATGGGAATGGGAAGAAAAAGGAGGGAAACTAGACCATGAATATTGCCTATGAATCTCACGTACTAACAATCGACCATTCCATTTACCACATACCAAGTCTGTCTCGCCATACCAACCGCCCTCACCTGTCCCATCAGCTGAATGCATTGCCTGAGACACGATTGCTCTTCATTTTTCACCCCTCCCCAAGAACCCCTCACCAAGAACCCATCACCAACCACCCATCACCAACCACCCATCACCAACCACCCATCACCAAGAACCCCTCACCTGCCCCATCAGCTGCACGCATTGCTTCAAATTGGTGGACGAGATAGCCCGTCGCATCCCGGCCAATCGCGAGCCAGCAGCAGCGTCATAGTTGTCGGTCCAGGCGAGCTCCCAGGGGTGGGAGGTGTCGCATAGCTGTATGCTGTTGCTACCCGAGTTGACAGGATCAGCTGAGGGGGAGCGGATCCAATTGGAGGCAGGCACAAAGGCCATGTGGGAGAGAGTCTGCAGGACGGGGAGACGGAAGGAAGGAGGGGGCGGTAATTCAGGAGAGGGAGGAGAGGGAGGAGAGGGAGGAGAGGGAGGAGAGGGGTAGTGTGAGGAAAGAGGGTGAAGCCGCACAGCAGAAGCATCGTAGTTGTCGGTCCAGGTGAGCTCCCAGGGTCGTGTTTTGAGTCGACTCAAAACACAGCTGGGGTGGGAAGGAGAAGCAGCAAAGCAGCAGCGTCATAGTTGTCGGTCCATGCGAGCTCCCAGGGGTGGGAGGTGTCGCAGAGCTGTATGCTCTCACTCACTGCCCGTGTTGAGTGGGCTGGCTGATGGGGAGCGGATCCGGTTGGAAGCATGCAGGCGCAAAAAGGCCATGTGGGAGAGGGCGTGCAGGGAAGAAGGGGAGGGACGGGAAGAGAAGATTCATTATGATGGTCAGACCAGGCGAGGTCCCAGCCCAGCCCAGGGGTGGGTGGGTGGGTGGGTGGTGTGGCACAGGTCGATGTTCTCCTCACTGCAATTGTTCGGTGGGCTGGCTGAGGGGGAGCGGATCCGGTTGGAAGCAGGCGCAAATGCAATGAGGGAGAGGGCCTGCAGGGGAGTGGGGAGATGCAAAGAGAAGACTAGTCCTGGCACCTCAATCACCACCCACCACTGTATTTGGTGACTTTTGAGTCGACTCAAATGTCACCAGGGGAGTGGAGGGATGCAAAGAGAAGATTAATCCTGGCGCCTCAATCACCACCCACCACTGTATTTGGGCGTGCAGGGCCAAAATCTAGCCCTATTCAGATTTGCACGTGACTGTAACGAGGCCACCAGACAGACATTTGACCTGCAATACTAGTAATTGTATTCTTACCTCCAGGCCACTGGATTCGGTGTGCAAGGCCAGCATTTGGTGCTGTTCAGGTTCGCACGTGACTGTAGTGAAGCCATCAGCATCCCCCCCCCTGCATTCAGTATCAGTCTTACCCCCAGGCCATTGTACTTGGACGTGCAGGGCCAACACTTGGCACCGTTCAGGTTCGCTCGTGACTGTACTGAAGCCACCAGCTATGTGTGGTTTGGTAGTGATAGACTTACCTCTAGGCCGGTGTATTTGGGCGTGCAGGGCCAGCATTTCGCTCCGTTCAGATTCGCGCGTGACTGTAACGAGGCCATCAGCACCTCCCCCTGCTGCCCGTGCTTGAATGTCTGGTGGCTCACGGTGCACAGCGGCCAATCAGCTCGCGCCACGTGGACGCCTGTGGATTCTGTATGCGCCTTGAGGGTTGCCTCTGGGGAGAGGTTGCTGTGGGGGTGGAGAGAGAGAAGGACGGAGAAAGGGACGGAGGGAGGGGAGGAGGGGCAGGATAAGGGTTGAGAAGGAGGTTTGGGTGTGTGGGGGACAGATCGGGAGGGGGGGAGGAGAGGAGATGGAAAGAAAGAAGCCTCCCCCTGCCGCCCGTGCTTGTACGTCTGGTGGCTCACGGTGCACAGCGGCCAATCAGCTCGTGCCACGTGGACGCCTGTGGATTCCATACGGGCCTGGAGGGTTGCCTCTGGGGAGAGGTTGCTGTGGGGGTGGTGAGGGGGAGGGTGAGAATGGGGGGGTAAGGGGGATATGGGGGAGAAAAGGTGAGAAAGGGTGAGAAGGGGGAAGAAGAGATGGAAAGAGTGTCAACTGTGGATTTGTTTCGTTTCGTATGGGCCTTGAGGGTTGCCTCTGGGGAGAGGTTACTTTGGGGGTGCAGAGAACGGGGGGTTGAATGTAGGAGACAGGGGAAGAGGAAGGGACTAGCAAGAATTTTGGATCGAGCCCTTTTGTGTGTCACCCCCTCACTTGTCACCACCCGCACCCACATGCACCTGAGGCCTGCTTTCACGAGCTCTTGCAGGGAGGAGAGCCGCGAGAGCACTTTCCGGGCAGCTTCCAGAGAGCCCATTCCAAAGGCGTCGTTGATTCCACTGTATTCGGAACCAAACGGCACCACCCACTCCTCCTCCTCCTTCTCATCCTTCTCCTTTTCCTGTTCCTCTGCATCTGCATATGCTGTTGCGTTTGCTTCCTCTTCCGCTCCCTTTGCTACCTCTGCGGTCTCTTGTCCTTCTGCGGTCCCCCTGGTAGAACTAGACCTGGCAGCATCTTCAGCAGGTAAAGAAGATGCGGTGGTATTAGGAAGCGAAGGGGGGAAGGCGGAGGAGAGGGAGGGCGGGGCGGACCAGTAGGAGTCGAGTCGGGAGTGGATGAGACGGTGGAAGGGCGGCGAGGAGGGGTGGTGGCGCTGGTAGTTGTCGATCAGGGAGAGGCAGGAGGCGAGAAGACGCAAGTACTGCAGTTGAGGCTGCACAAGGGGAGCGGGGAAAAGGGGGAAAGAAGGGAGGGCGGGAGTGTATGAGGAGGTGAAATGGCGGCGAGGAGGGGTGGTGGCGCTGGTAGTTGTCGATCAGGGAGAGGCAGGATGAGAGAAGACGCAGGTACTGCAATTGAGGCTGCAGGGGAGAAGGGGGAGGGGGATAGGGTGGCCGAGGGGAGGGGAAGAGGGAATTTGGAAATGTAAGGGAAAGGGAAGGAAATGGAGGATGTGAGGAGAAGGAGGGCGGGGCGGACCAGTAGGAGTCGAGGCAGGAGTGAATGAGATGGTGGAAAGGAGGTGAGGAGGGGTGGTGGCGCTGATAGTTGTCGATCAGGGAGAGGCAGGATGAGAGAAGATGCAGGTCCTGCAATTGAGGCTGCACAAGGGGAGCGGGGAAAGGGGGGGAAGAAGAGAGGGAGTGGATGAGATGGTGGAAGGGCGGCGAGAAGGAGCGGTAGCTCTGGTGGTTGTCGATTAGGGAGAGGCACGACGAGAGAAGCTGTAGGTACTGCAGCTGCGGCTACAGAGGGAGGGAGGGAGTGGATGAGGGGGTGGAAGAAGGGCAGCGAGGACCATAAAATCTCACAACCGAGACTAGAGATTGAAAATAAACGCACCTGCATGCTCCGAGCTGTTGCATTGTTGTAGAGCTTGCTGTCTCCCACCACCTCCTCACCGTCAACCCATACACTCCCACCCATCTCCACCGCACCCAACTCCACATCCCCTTCCCACGCACTCTCGCCATCGACCCCCTCTTTTAAATTCCGCCCTAACCCTCCAGCTAGTCCCTTCCCCTGTTCTACCCCTTCCCCAAATCTCCCCTTTTCCCCCTTTCCTCCGCTTTCACCAGATCCCCCCGTTCCCCCATTTTCCCCGGATCCCCCCTTTTCCCCCTTGCCCAGCCCCCACTGCAGCGCCCATAGCTTGTGGCTGTGCTCGTCCAGGGGAGCTACGAGGAACAGGACCGGGCGGTACGGACGCAGGCTCGGCAGCAGCCGAGCCACAATGCTAGGTCCGGTGAGCTCGAAGTCGCGCGCCGAACCAGTGAGGCAGACGGCAGTGCGGCCAGTGTAGGGGGTGGGCGCTTGGATTGTAGATGGCTCGGAGGCTTGTTGCTGCTGAGTGAGGGAAGAGGGAGGGAGGGAGGGAGGGAGGGAGCAAGGAGAGTAGCACAATGTGAGGCAGACTGCAGTGCAGTGAAGGAGCGGGAGGGCTATGAGGGAGATGAAGACGTAACGTACGGCACAATGCAGCGGCGGTAACTTGGTTATTGCAGCAGCACCAGCTCCCTACTCTATCCACTTGTTGACTAGAACCAGCCCGAGAGAGCAGCTAGATGGCGCAGGCCCACGAGAGGGATGGGGGAATGATGCGAAGTGGAAGGAAACATAAAATACACAACGGAGCAGCGGTAGCTCATTACTCACCAGTTGTTGTGTGGAATCATCCAGAGACAGCAACTGACTCGCATGCTTGCGAAGTGTGGACCACGAGGGGAATTGGGGAGATTTGGAGGCGGAAGCGGAGGGGTGAGATTGAAGTGAAGTGGAGAAGAGAGAGGAGAAGGATGAGGGCGATGAGGAGGTGGAGGTGGAGTAAGAAGCGGAGGAGGCGGATGTGAGAGACGCGATGAGAGCAGCTCGAGCCGCTGGTGAGGAGAGAACACTCAGAGACTCTGGTGATGATGTCTGGTGGACGAGGGGAGCGGAAAGAGGGTAGTAGAGAGGAAAATGTTATATTTTGCTCTGCAAAAAAAAACAAAAAACGTTGGTGAGGAGAGAACACTCAGAGACTCTGGTGATGATGTCTGGTGGACGAGGTCAGAGTGGAGAGGAGTGAGGAAAAAACACAACGTTTCAGAAGCCTCATAAGCAGCTCTAGCTGTTGGTGAGGAGAGAAGACCCAGGGACTCTGGCGATGTTGTCTGGTGGGCGAGAGGAGGGGGAAAAGGAGAGAAGATATGAATTTGTATTGTCCTGGAGAATCAAAATACTTCTAGCCGTTGGTGAGGAGAGAACGCCCAGGGACTCTGGAGTTGTTGTCTGGCGGGCGCAGGGAGAAGGCAAAGCAGAGCTCTAGCTGTTGTTGAGGAGAGAACACCCAGGGACTATGGGGATAATCTCTGGTGGACGAGGGGAGAGGGCAATGGAGTTTGGAGAGGAAGTTGTATTTGGAACCTCAAGAAACAAATTTGACTGCTGGAGAGGAGAGAGGAGAGAGGAGAGAGGAGAGAGGAGAGAGGAGAGAGGAGAGAGGAGAGAGGAGAGCGGAGAGGAGGTAGGAAGTATAGCATTGGGCTGAACGTGAGGTGCATGGACAAGTGAGTTGGGTCGAAAATGCTTCATTCTCTCCTGAAGTGTTTCTTTCTCGCTGACCTTCATTCTCACCCAAAAGTGCTACCTTTTCACCCGAAAGTGCTTTCCGTAATCGGAATTGCTTCATTTTCATCCAAATTGCTTCATCCTCACCCGAAAGTGCCACATTTCTCAACCAGAAGTGCTCCGAGACTCATCGGATAAGCGAGACGGTAAGGACGAAGAGCAAACAAAAGCGGCATACACGGTGCGGAAACGACGACGTCTATACGCGCTTCGTGCATTCAGGTGGGAATTTCTCACCCTGAAATTCTCACCAGTGGTCCATGTTGAGCGGAACGGTGGGGAGCACGACGAGCCCTAAAAAACACGTTGTACGTTTTGAGACGTCTCAAAGCACGACGAGCCCTAAAAAACACGTTGTACGTCGTCAAGTACAACGAGCTGCAGAAAACGTTTGCAACCTGCGATTTTTTCTTTTACTACCAATTCATCTACCATTCTCACCCGGAAGTGGTCCATGTTGAGCGGAACGGTGAGGAGCACGACAAGCGCGACAGCCGCTGCGACTCGCAGACAGCTGCAGTGATGCGGCACGCACGAATGCGACGCGGAATTCCGTCCCTTCCGCGGCGAAAATGCGTTGTGAACCCATGAAGATTCGGAATCCGCATTCCACGACGAATCGGAGTCGTTCTTTCCGTCGCTCGGAAACGAGCTTTCGTCGGGCGTGATTTTCAGGGTGCAATCGTACGGCTCGTCGATGCAGTCTATTTCGGATTCCAACGGCCCTGGTTCCATTGCAACCATAATGTCGCCAGAAGAATCGCCCTTTGTCACGAATATTGATTTAACGTTGTGTTACGTGATAATGCTGGAAGCGGCGAGCGTGTGACGAACTAGAGATTGGAGCTGTCCTTTCCCCTGCTTGACACAAAACCCCCCTTGCGATGGACGTCCCTATTCCGTACTAGCGAGGAGAAAACTATTGCGCAGAACAGTGTGCGACCCCTGAAATTGCGAACGTGCAACGTTTTTGTCGTAATCTAACTGCTAGCTCGTGAAAGGTAGGTGAAGCAATGAAATAACCTTGCGACTATTCTAGGCCAGGTGACGGCATCTTTTTTGTGTTGAAGTACAAGCCTCAAGAAATACTTGGAGAAGACGACAACCACTTATCAGAATACACGTAATCAGCTTATCGGGTACATCCCTCCCGAAACCCTCCCAAATGTCTGCGCGAAAGTCGCGTGGTGCATCAGGGCCGCCATTGGGATTTCGTTTTGCTTCTCCACCTCGCACCGCCTTTTTAGACATTTCGAGGGCTCGACGAACTGTGTGCGAAAAGAAACGAGGGATTCGCCGTCGGATGTCGACGTGTATCAAATGCATTGTGACACTTTTTTAGCTGTCACCACCGCCTCACAACCACCCCACCATATCTGCCCAAACAGTAAAACCCTCCCAAATTAGAGCCCCCATGTTCACAATACGGTGCTTTCTTTCACATTTTTTGGGTTGAGCAGCAATAGCACTCCCATATAGTTGGTTCTACATTTTGGAAAAATCATTTCAAGAGTGATCTTCGAGCACCTGTCAAACATATATGATATAGCATGTGTAGGCTGTAGTGGGGTAGACATTATGGGGTACAGCTTTTCTAGGTTTTCATACTTGTACCCATCTCCTTTCTAGTCCACATCATTCCTCGTACATTTCTCACATGGTATAGAGCGGGTTCCCTAGTGGGACCGTTTTTTTTTAGGGCCCACCACATATTTGGTGAAACATGGTAACTCCGCAGATCGCACGGCCTTGTGCCGGCGACGCATCATTCAAATTTCTGCCCTATCAACTTTCGATGGTAGGATAGAGGCCTACCATGGTGGTAACGGGTGACGGAGAATTAGGGTTCGATTCCGGAGAGGGAGCCTGAGAAACGGCTACCACATCCAAGGAAGGCAGCAGGCGCGCAAATTACCCAATCCTGACAGAGGGAGGTAGTGACAAGAAATAACAATACCGGGCTCTTCGAGTCTGGTAATTGGAATGAGTCGAATTTAAATCCCTTAACGAGGATCTATTGGAGGGCAAGTCTGGTGCCAGCAGCCGCGGTAATTCCAGCTCCAATAGCGTATATTTAAGTTGTTGCAGTTAAAAAGCTCGTAGTTGGATATCCGGGCGGAGGTCTCGGTCTGCCGTTTCAGTGGGGATTCCACCTGGGCATCGAAAGAAATTACAACGCGTGGAAGATTTTTGACGTCCACTCCAAAGAAACAGTAGCAGCACGTGACGTCATTTTCTACGAACGACTCACCCTTCCGACATACCTTGCCAACCTGGAAGAAAATCGGGATCCCACAGGTGGCTTCCATGGTGACCGACACTTCGCCTCAGCAGCAGACGAAGCTGACTGGGACGAGCAGAACGTGGATAACGCCTCGGAAGAAGCAGGACCACTCCCTTACTGCTCCGTGCCTATCCCGATGGATGACGAAAATCCTCGCGAAAGCGTCAACGCCGAAACTTATTTCGACCTCGCCGACACTGGTTACGTTACACCTGCAGAAGTCAACACCAACGAAGCAGAACGCATAGGGCCCAATTTCATACCTGACCCAGAAGCTGGCGACGAAGCAGCTTATCCCGCGGACACAACACTCCCCCGCTACACACAGAGTGGCCTTCAGATACTTGGTCTCGTCACCGCGGTCCACGGCACCGATACTCCTAAGGAGCCTGCCACAGTTCAGCAGGCTCTGGGGGGGGAGCATAAGGAAAAATGGCGTGAAGCCATGGACAAGGAACTGAAAGCACTACAGGAGCGCAACACCTGGAAAGTTTTTCCTATCGGCGTGGCACGAAACAAGACAATACTCACCGGGAAGTGGGTCTTCCGTGTGAAGACGAAAGCAGATGGCACCATCGACAAGTTCAAGGCACGCTGGGTCGTACGTGGCTTCGACCAAGAGCACGGACGCGATTTCACCGAGACATTGGCACCGGTTAGTCGACACACCTCACTACGGATTCTTCTCGCGGTCGCCGCTATGAAGAAAAAGAAGCTGCGGCAAATCGACGTTGCCAATGCTTTTCTCTACGCACCTGTCGACGCAGAAATCTTTGTCGAACTTCCACACGGTTCCCATGGAGAACCTAACCAAGTCTGCCAGTTACTGAAGTCCCTGTACGGGATCAAACAGGCCCCGAGACTGTGGCAGCAGTACTTACACGCTCGACTTACTCGCATCGGATTCCGGCAGCTACCGCACGACCAAGGAATGTACCGGCTCACGAAAGGCGATGACTACATTTTACTAATCGTCTACATAGACGATCTGCTTTACATCGGGTCAACCGACAGTGTCACTACCTGGTTCGAAGGGGAGTTACACAGAGATCTTACGCTCACGGTTTCATCTACCGTCACGCAATACATCGGCCTCAACATCCAAGAAGAAGAAGACGCAATCTATCTCAACGCCGCAAAGTATGCCGACACCATCACCAAACGGTTCGCACTCACGCCAACTACCATCTCCACGCCATACCGCTACACGGCAGGAAATGACAAGGTAGAATCTGCTCCACTGAAACCCGCCGACATACGCAACTACCAGAGAAAGCTAGGATGCCTTCTCTTCGCGGCCGTCACCTGTCGTCCAGACCTATCATACTCAGCAAGTCAACTCGCCATCTACCTCAAAAGGCCTGAAGACCAACACATGAAGGAACTCGATCGCGCTCTACACTACCTCGTAAGCACTCCGACGATCGGCCTGATCTACTACAAGAACATAACTACAACGCCCAAGCTAATCGGCTACGTCGACGCCGACCACGCCGGAGATTCTGACAACAGGCGCTCGCGCACAGGCTACATCTACCGCCTCGAGCCTATCGGACCTATTTCGTGGCAGTCAAGCAAACAAGAATTAATCTCTCTCTCCTCAGCTAAAGCTGAATACATCGCACTCTGCTCAGCCACCAAAGAAGGACTGTACCTTCGCGAACTGCTGGAGGAAGCGAAGCTGGCCCAGTTACCCAGCTTCTCCCTATTTTGCGACAACCAGTCGGCAATTCGCATCGCCAACAAAAATGGATTCGCGAACAGGACGAAACATATCGCCCTGCGATATTTCTTCGTAAAGGACGAGATCGAGAAGGGAAGACTTGAGCTGTCTTACTGTCCCACATCCGAGATGGCAGCTGATTACTTGACCAAGAAGCTCGGAAAGTCGAAATTCGAATATTGCATGCTGCTGACTGGACAGAGCCACGTCACCTGCAGCGACACTCCAGAAGCGAAGGGGAGTGTTGGAAACAACTGATTTAAGCGCCTCTGTCGTGTCGAAAAACCAAGACAGAAGCGA